GGGGCCTGGGTGGAGCCACTGTGAGGATGGGGCGGGGCCTGGGTGGAGCCAGTGCTCATGGGGGATAGGGGTGGGGCCTGAGTGGAGCCAATCAATGGATGGGGGTGGGGTCTGGGTAGAATAGAGTGAATGGGGTGGGGCCTGAGTGGAGCCAGTGTGAGGGTGGAGCCAGTGGGGATGCAGGTGGAGCCTAGGTAGAGCCAGTGTGAGGATGGGGGTGGGGCCTGGGTGGAACCAGGATGAATGGATGGGTGGAGCCAGCATGGAGCTGGGGATGGGGCCTGAGTTTAGTGGGCGGGTCTCCAGGCTGCTCCCTGATATGCTGGGAGTATGGGGGAAGGAGGGACACGGTGCGGATGGAGCCAAGTTGTATTGGAGCTGGCCAAGGGGCCGGGCTGCCTCTCTCACCTCCTCACTCCTCCAGCCTCAAGGGGCAGGAGGGATCTAAGCTCCAGTTGAGGCCCATCTTGGGACCACTGACCCCTGACCCCCATTCCCAGCTGGAGGAGGAGCGTTCCCGCCTGGCGGAGCAGCTGCGGTCGGAGGCGGAGCTGTGTGCCGAGGCCGAGGAGACGCGAGGGCGGCTGGCGGCCCGCAAGCAGGAGTTGGAGCTGGTGGTGTCAGAGCTGGAGGCCCGTGTGGGTGAGGAGGAGGAGTGCAGCCGCCAGCTGCAGACGGAGAAGAGGAGACTACAGCAGAACATTCAGGTCTGCCCTGGCCCCGCCCCTCGCGTGCCCACCCGGCACCCCGCCACCCCCGCCCTCGTCTGCCTCTCCAGCCTTCCCTTCCCCACAGCAGATCCCAGTTGGCCATCGGGTCGCCAGAAACTGAGCCCCAAGCGGCTTAAGCAAAAAGAACCGTTTTGGGGATCAGATAATGGGAAAAGTCCTGAATGGGCAAGCTTCAGGCATGGCTGGATCAAGGTGCTGAAAGCGATATCCTCAGTTCTCTGCTTCCGTCTCCGTCTCCCGCTTCCATTTGCCTCTATGCTGCTGCTTTTGCAACAGGCTGCTTTCCTCTAGTTCCCCCAAGCAGCTCCTCTAAGCTTATGTCTTATCACCTTGGCCTCCCCAGTGGAGGGGTCCTCAGTAGCAAGAGTCCCAAACAAAGTTCTGGGCCTGACTCTTGCTGGGCTTGATGCATTTATTCACTTACCCCCCAAACGACTCCTTGGTGATGTGATTATTTCCATTACATGACGGAAACATTAATAGGACTGTCTGGCCCACGGCCTTCATCAGCAGAACCCTTCTAGAAAATTCTCACCCAAGATGTAAAAGTCGCAAACGGTTTATTGCGCATTTCAGGAACTTCTTGAAAACCCATTGGTTAATCATTTAACCAAAAAGAAAAACATAGTAGTAGTGATAATTGCAATAACCAAAAACCACACCCACTGCTGTGGAGTCAATTCTGACTCACAGTGCCC